TGAAGCGGAATGCCTGGAGGCAGATGGTTGAGAAAATCGAGGAAAAGAGAACAAGAACATAGAGTGATTGTTATGGAAAACAAGGAATAACAAAGTTTGAGACAAGTGATGGATGTTTCGCAAGTGAAGTATTTACTGTATGGTTCTCAGATTTTACCAAGATATTCTGCAATGTTGTATTCAGGTACATTCAGTTATCCCCACTCTTATTCTCGTTCGCTACAGTAGTAAACGAATCTCATGGTAGACCTTGAACAAGAGGTTTTCAACCAATCAACAAAAACATAAAATTCATCGTTTTTTACTTCGCCCGTAACATAAACAAGCACAACAACAAGAACACCAGAAGACTTGAGTTAAGAAACAACTGAAATAGTAACATACAAATGCATGCTTGTGATATTTTCAAAATAAAAAGCAATCAAACAAACAAATATGAACATGTGATAGTCACTGTTCTGTTTTTCTTTTTATAATAAAGGAAACAAAATATCACATGTAAACAAATAGAAACTTTTTGTAGTTGGATAATTTTTTTATGTTCCTTTCTTCTAAACATTATGTTTACTTGTGATTAAATAAAAGATTTACAGGTTACCATCATTATCGTCACGTGGATATGTTTACATTTTACCATGCCAGTACATTAACATACTAACAGGGAGAGTAAGGTAAAAAGAAGAAAAACGTCTATAAATAAATCAGTTGCAACAACGACTAAATTATTTGAATTGAAACAAGGGGTAAATGAGAAATTGTTGTTGTGACTGTATACATATAAGTTTCTACATTATTACCATTAAAAGTACATTTGATAAGTGGAAGTAGGTTGAATACTCATTAATATTGTTAAGATGTCCTTAAAATACATACATACATACAGGTGATAAATAAATCCCTAATTCTAAAATATGCATCTATTAAGATGAATTAAGAATAAGCATACTGAAAATCACTATCTTCATTACAGTCTATATTTTTTGGAATATTATTAGTTAATGATAGGTCGGGATATTTTTCCTAAGCAAAATAACGCTTTTGTGTAACATCTAATAGATATAAGAAAAATTCTGTTTTTTTATTTAAGTAAAGATATATTGCCTAAATAATCCACTTCAACGAAAGTGTAGAAAATCAAAGAACTTGACTTTTAATTTCAGACTCAAACCTGGACTCGTCCACGTGGGTTTAGGGAACCTAATAGTATACACTCGAGATATACAAAAAAGCATGGCTAGTTTCCGAGTATATGCACCGTTGATTAGTCGTTGAGTTACATAAGTCTTCAGTCTTCAGTAATAAGGATAGTAAGTTGGTGAACCTGTGTTAATCCTGAAAGATCGTCTTGCAGTGAAGGTCCAGCTTCTTCTTGAAAATATTCACTGACGGGGCTGATACCACTTGTTCGGGTAAGGCGTTTCAGTCATTGACTACTCCATGAGAAAAACGGGGCCCCACTTTATGTTTATTAGATCTCAATTTGTGAACCCTCTTACCATGTCTTCGGAGAATATTAGTGCTGAAGGGCGCGAAACGATAAGACATAATAACACTCAAATCATAAATAAAGATACGAAATGCCAGTATAAGGTCACCTCGCGTCCTACGATACGATAAGAAGAAAAGGTTTAGGCGTTTTAAACGCTCATCGTAAGGGAGTTTAGAAAGACCCTTCACTAATTTCGTTCCCACACGCTGGACACGCTCAAGTGAGTTAGTATCCTTTACCAGACATGGGTTAGCTGCTTGAATACAGTACTCTAAATGTGGTCTTACATAGGTGGGATATAAAATTCGAAACGTTTCCTCATCAGAAGATTTGAACGCTCGGCGAAGTGACCATAACGCACGAAAACCTTTGACAGCAGCTTCGTTGCAATGCGTAGTTATTTTTAAGTCATGACTTATTATTACTCCTAAGTCTTCATATTCTTGAACGCATGGAAGAGGTTTACCATCAATAGTATAAAGGTAACTATTACCGTGACCGATGTGCGTTAGAACACTCTTCCTATAATTGATTTCTAAGCCCCACCCTCGAGCCCATCTAACTAAATTGTCTATGCCAGCTTGGAGATCCAGATGATCAGCCTTACTTTTTATTGTTCTCCAGATTTTTACGTCATCCGCAAACAATAATGTCGACGACCTGAGCAACGGCGATAACTCATTAACGTAGAGAAGGAAGAGCAGAGGGCCTAAGATGGTGCCTTGGGGTACGCCACCTTAGGCCCTCAGTTAATAGTTTTTATATGACACAATATCCGTAGACAATTCAATCTTAACAACTCTGTGTAACAGCGTAATATAATATTTACATAGTCTTTCGCTTAATTCTGTTAAAATTCTGTAGAAGAGATTATTATTTACACTCTAGTTGTTGACAAGATCACGTAAAAATGATACTCAGTAGTGTACACAAGCTCGTTTAATCGTAAAATATGAACTCCTCTACAACAGAAGAAAAGTTAGATTAGATGATTTTCAATGTATGATACAGTGAGTTAAATTCAAGCATTTAGAACCATAATTCGATCAAGGAAAGTACTGCTTATTCTAAATCACAAGAACTTGTCATACCAGTTTTGCAAAATCAGCTTTAGAATGAACAAGTATTAGATGAAAATAAAGAGAATTCAGTGAAGAAGATTTTCTTTTCGACAAAATCATTTACTTAAACTGTACATTCGTATTTACAGTTGTATATAAAAATATAGAAAATATTACATCATAAATTGATTCGAGACTCTTATTATCAGATGAGGTGACGCAATAGTCATAGGGTAAGAGAAGAGCACAATGCTGAAAATAATTTATGGATCTGAATTATGGAAAATGATTGACTGTTCAATTGGCAGATATAAAGAAAAACGACAAGCACAAAGGTCATAATAATGAAATCTGAATAATAATCATGAAAACTTGTTTCAGGGTGATAATAACTGAGTTTTTAAATTACAAAAAACTAATTTAAAAAATCAATAATAATAATGAAAATAGAAAAATGAAGGAAAAATGGAAAAAAAATCGAAACACTACAAAAGGGAATTAGGACCAAGGAAGGATGAGAGGTTGGACGTGTAGATTATGCACGCAAAGTTCGGGTTGAGATGGTGGATCGTCAATGCCTCAGCAGTGCATAAGATTTTGATTCGACCTCTCTTCGATCCAATTACTTTGACTGTGTGTTTTCAAACAAGACTCCTTTGGAGCGATGTGTACATAGGTGATTAAATGCTCCTGTATTGAACTAGTAATTAGTTTGCATTCTCCTATTAAAACCCATGGCGGGTAGTGTTCTGAGATGTGTTTGGAAAGTGATCGCTTTGTGCGGCTGATGTAACCTGCTCCACATGAGCAAGTGAATTTATAGATGCACATTGCTGTGGCCCAAAGAGGGAATTTAGGGCGCGGATCGGCAAAGCAAGAGCAGTATATCTACAATTGAAGAACATCTGGGACTCAAAACGACTGTCAACTAACACCAAGGTCAGAATTTTCAATACGAATATCGAGACAGCTCTACTGTATGGAGCGGAAACTTGGAGAACTACGAAAGCCATCATCCAGAAGATACAGGTGTTTATTAACAGTTGTCTGAGTAAAATACTTCGGACCCGTTGGCCAGACACTATCAGAAACAACCTACTATGGGAGACAACAAACCAGATTCCAGCGGAAGAAGTGGATAGGACACATATACTGAGGAAAGCACCCGACTGTGTCACAAGGCAAGCCGTCACTTGGAATCCTCAAGGCCAAAGAACACATTACGCTGAGAAACGGACAAAGATATGAGAAGAATGAACAACAATTGGATAGAACTAGAAAGGAAGGCCCAGGACAAAGTGGGTTGAAGAATGCTGGTAGGTGGTTAATGCTCCACTAAGTGTAACAGGCGTAAGTTTATCTTTAACACATCCATGAATGGAAGACCGGCTTGGGAAAACAATTCGGAGCTTAGCGGTGTAGAAATTTTTTTCAGAAATTTTGAAATAATTTATTCAAGATTTCAGCAGCTGTATCTCCTTTAAATTCCATATTCATAAGACGTTTTCTTTTTACTGTTGGTGCTTTTTCCGAATGATGTCAAAGTGCTAAGTTATTATTGACGTATCTAGGTGGATAACCATTCCTAATGAGTCTGTCGAAGTTGAAGTAATTTCTCATATATTGTGTCAGTAGAACATATTCGCCTGATCCTTGAAGATAAAGAGTGGATTAAATTCCTCTTTCTACTCAGTGGGACACAGCTATGTAAATTTGTATACTGCCCATTCCAGGTAGGCCTTCTATAGATAGATCTCTGCAAAAAACCATCTGACCTTTCCAATCGGACATCAAGGAAATGAAACCCCTCATTTGCCTTTGCTTCTAATTACACAATGGGTTATTTTAATTATTAGATGAAATTTGTATATTAGGGGATTTGTAAGAAACCAGTAGTTTAGTATGTGATACATTTACATACATTCAAATAGCATCAAGTACCGTAAAAGCTGATTTGATATCATAGTGAATAATGTTGACAGAGTGACAAAGCAAGTGGACAGAGCGCTACTTAATATTTTATTCATACGGGTTCTTTCTGTCAGTTGTTAACATTATGAACTGAATTTGACCAGTCTTCGTGGACTTAAAAACTCCTTAGATCGATACTTCAATATTCTGTGTTTACAAGTGAATCGTATTTTTGTAAACAATAACCAATGAGATCCAGGATATCTTCGACTTGTCAGCTAGGTGAACATGCATTTTTAGTGTTGTGGATCAAACTGAAACTCAATCTGAATATCCGTTGCCTTATTAATTAGACTACGAAATCATAATAACCACTACAATTCATTCAACACTAAACGAGTAGGAAATACAACGAAATGAGCATCCAGTTTTTTAGAATTCCCAACCATATTAATTACATACGAATTTCTTATTTTTCTGATTATTACTCGCTGACAAATCGCTCAGAAAAAAAGAGACGATAGAAATCTGAAAAATTTGACGTTAAATTTTATTACACACAAAATAAATGACATTTTATTGGTTTTTCTTTAAGAAATCTCTCTGTTCATTTTTTAACAATAAAGTTTAAAACACAAATCTATTGTGAACAAATGAATTCAAGTTAACAAAATATGAAAGAATAAAAAGATATAATTGTGTACACAAGCAAAATGTTTGCAATTTTTGTGCATTCACTGAATGATTGTGCTTAAATTCAGTTAATGAGAATAATTTCCTTTTTATTATTATTATTCTTAGCATGTGCAATAATTCATCTACTTCGTATATATTCTGTGATAAAATCAAAACAAAATAGGTATCGAGTAAGTGACCTTTGAAAATAACAATAAACAACATACAAAAAATATGGGATAATCCACTATCTCACTCAAGTATATATATAATATCTAGGCGTTAGCATTGTGCTTGTCTGTAAATTTTCAATATTTCGAGGAAATATTTAAAATAAAACAGAATGGTTCAAACGAAAATTCATTGAAAAAATATTGTAACGACAACGATAAAAAAAGAAATGGATAAATCAAATGGAGAGTAATGAATACTAAAATAGTTATGAAAATAGAAAATAGTACAAGATGTGTAAAGTTGAAAACAGAAGAAACAAAAACACAGCGGAACCAGGAGAAATATTCTTTTCTGGAGAGAAACTAATATTTACTCTTTAGGTAGCAGAACAAAACTAGCTTTAATTGTTATATACTCAATTTTCAGTATTAGTATTATTGGTCTTACATTCACAGGGTACAGAAAGATGAAGAATAAGTAAAGAGAAAAAATTATAATCTTTACTAAATAAATATACAAGAAACTCTTTCTCAATATATGTTCCCTTGGTTTGTATTATTCACTCACAAAAAATAAACAGAACAATGTAACAAAACCAACTATCGATTGTGTATCGTTAAAGATGAACAGATGAAACTATCATTTTTGGCAAAGCGTATAACACAAAACAAAAGGTTTATGTGTGTACAATGAAAAAAAATTAAGAAGATTAACAAATTAAAACACTAAAGAAATTGAAAATGGCGAAAATGAAATACAATTTAAACACGAACAAAACAGTTAATTATTTATCAACTATTTTTTTCCAGGTTTAAACCTTCATTATTATTACTATCGTCAATGATAACAAGATCAGTATCAAACGAAAAATAATATAACATCTTTTCTACTATTCAAAAAGGTACAAAATTGATTTTCATTATTTTTTTCTTCAGTGGAAAAGTTTTTCTACTAAAAAAATAGATGAATTCTTTCTCTACTAGTGGATTTGATGAATATTTAACATTTACTGGATTTGTAAAAGTAAACGTAAATAAATAGATATAAACTTATGAGTAGTTTAGTATATTAGTAGTATAGAGTGAGGAGAATAGGCTTGTTCGATGGACGAAACACATACATAATCAAATACAGAAAAACATCAAAATTGCAAATTGATAAATAGTAATTCAGAAAGGAAACTACAAAAGTAGGACCGTTTACATATTCATGTTTAGCAGATTAGAAACAGAAGAAAATAAGCAAATTATCTATCTGTTTTTCATGTGTATGGACACATATCTGTACACAAGTAAAAACTCACCGAAAATAAACATCTAAATAACCTCATCCCAATATATATATATATATATATATATATATATATATATATATATATATATGCACAGATGTGTGTCTGTGTATGTGTAATATGAATACAAGGTCATCAGTGAAATTTGATACTAATATAAACTAAAACTAATAGTGAATAAATCAAATGGTTTTCTACTTTTCTCAAAATGTAAGATTTTTGAGAAAAGCGGTATGTGGAATAATGTTAAATGTTTGAAGCAGAAAAAACGAATGAGTTTGTTTCGATATATGAATATCTCTATAGAATAACAGTTTAAATGCTTTGTAACACAATATGCAATTTATTAAGTCACTGTAAAATCCATAAGATATTGTTTCATTTCCACAATTTAATTAACTAAGAGGTTGACGACAACTGATTACCTCCATAGGATACAATGAAGTGAATGATTTATTTGGTAATAAATCATTCGGTGTTCTAGAAAACATATCGGAATACGATGACCCGCCAATGATATTCCTTGGACTATTCGTGTATAATCGATTTGTATTATAATTCACATTTGATGTTCCACTATAAGTAAGCGATGGAAGTAAACGAATCGAACGACTACCGCGTAGTTTTTCTTCATATTCTAATAATTGTCGCCAAAAACCGGGATTTGGCTGAATACATGGTCTTATACTGCGCACGTGTTGATAAGCATCAGCAAGACTCATATTCGTGTGGCGCATTAAATAAGCTAATACAAGTGTACTGGAACGTGAAACACCTGCCATACAATGTATTAACGTTTTACCACCACGCCGATTTTCAGCAGCTATTCGATCGGATACTCTATCAAAGTGAACACGTAAATTTGCACTTTCTATATCTTCAACGGGGACATGAATAGTATTCATCACAGCATTACGAATATGAACCGGTGGAGAATCAATCATTGCAGATACTAACAATGTAATACCATGTTGACGTAATCTGTCCGGTGTGATAGCATTTAAACTACTCAGAAACAGATGATTATTGATGCGTGCAATTTGACTGAACATTTGCATAAAATCTATTTGACAGACAGTATTGTATGGTATAAGTGGAGTGACAGTAGTATTTCGATTCCCAATAGCAGAATTATTATTTCCTGATTTAGGAAGTGTATCACAACTTTTTTGTGATTTATCTGACGAATTAAACAATATTGGAGTGACTGACGGTGTTTTTGATCTTGTTTGACAATAAGATGAATTACTTTGCACTGTTTGTGTAGTGTTTGTTATAGTGTTAGATGTAGTTTGTTTATCACGATTATTCTCGTAAGCACCAGCAGCAGAAATCACTGAACAGGGATTTAATTTATCCGATACTACTGTGGTATATGTGCTACTAAAATTACGTTTGGGTGTGTTGGTGTAGTCATCTTTTTTAATTTCATTGGTCTTCAATAAATTACTAACAGGTAAATCAGAATTATAAAATTCTAACAGTTTTGATCTTTGCTTATCACCAATTGGTGGTTCACAATCATCCCACATATTACGACGTAAACTTAGACTATTTGCTGTCTGATTTGTTGTACTGTTATTTACTAAACGATTATTAATACAAGTAATATATGGGGAGGCGTGGGTGTAATTTGTATTACTTGTGCCAGTTGTAATAGTTGAATGATTATTGGAATCGGAAGCCCACGTTTGACCTACATATGACAGGCTTGTGCCATTCATATTTTGATGTGGTAAAATTGTGGATGACTGAGGCGGAGGGGGAATGGTAGCTTTATTAATTACATTTGTTCGTCGATTTTCATCAAAAGGACGATAACTTGAACTGTAGATTGTTGAATAACGATTCATTTTATTTATTGTAATGTAATGATTTCTAGATAAACAGGAATTTGGTACATCTTATAAATTAAAAAGAATTATCACATAGATTGGTTTACTATTCAGTTTCTTATGATGGTCAAATATAAAGGGAAAATAAAATAGTGATTTTAAAATTCAGTAGAAATAATTACGACAATTACACATACACTAAGTGTAGAATATTAAAATGTGAAATAAAAAGTAAAACTTATGATAAAGTCATTAAATGTAATAATACAAAAATTCCCTAGCTACGGCATAATTAATAACCTTAATTTACGAAGATAAATAAACAAACCGTTGAGTTAAATAATCAAAATCTATAGAAGCTTCAAACAGCCAGCTGTTTTAGAAAGTAAATTTAATTGTCATTCAATGTCACTTAAGTATAAGGTGCCAATATTAATTTGAAAAAGGAGACTATACTGACAGTTAAGTAACAATGTTTAGGTATGATAATTAGGTGATTCGCCTTAGATATTCAAAGCCATGTAACTTACCTAGGTTGACGACTCCATAAAAAGAACTGATTCCTGATGAATTCGTTCAGTGCGAGAATGATATAAATATGTTATTTATTTCCTTGTGATTCTGCTTTTGTACACTTGCTTTGGAGATTGTTTTGGCTTATTCTGTATCTATACTGTTCTCACTTTTTCTTCTGATACTGTTGGAGTATAGTTGTTGAAGTGTAGACATCAAAGGAAGTAACATTATCCCTATACATTCAATTATTTTGCTTATCTTCGTGATTTTTGGTAGGTAATATGAGTGGTGAATTAATTTTGTCTACTTCTGATTGCCACATAAGACAAAGCAAGTAACACTGTCCATTACCTTAAATTTGGTTTTTTCCATAGAAAAAAGTCAGTTGACACTAATTACTTTAAGCTAATCAGTTAAGTTCAGTAATAATTCCACGCAAACTGGTAAACGTATTAAACTGTCTCATTTTCCATTGTGAAGGTAATAACAATCATGGTGACTGTGAAATCGTTGAGAATGGGTAGAGCTTTTTAACAGTTAATATTAAACATCATATAAAATTATACTAGGACAATATATCATGTTCTCCGATTTAGTGATAGTATTGGGAGCTTGAATTATATAACCTGATCAGCATTAAAAACTAGTTAACTACTTTTTAGTGGACGAAGAAAAAATATGGTCTACACTTACAGATAGTCAATTTAAACTCAGATGAACAAATGATACAGCGTTGGACTGCAGAGCTGTTTTGTATAAATGGAGATGAATAAAGGGGACCACTAACTTTCATCGTGATTGTGGATACATATTACTAGGGAGTGCTACCATAGATGAAGTAGAATTTTTAGAGGGTCACCTGCAATTATCGAATGATCAACTAATATTTGACGGTACACAAATGTGTCTGTAGATTTCTACCCACAAAATTCAAGACGACAATTGAACAGTCGTTTTGACTTACATAAGCCTATTGAACTTCGGTTTTAATAATTCATATAGTTTTCTACACATTTATGTAAAAAGAGTGATCTCAAACAATGCTTAGTATACTTTCATTTCCCTATGTTCTATATACTTTAAAAACGGCTAACCAACCATTATTCTAGCATTAATATAATTAGATTTGGGAGTACATAAAGCCTGAATATTTTTTACTTGATGATAATTAATTAGAAAAAAATTAAAATATCTTAATTACCACAAGTCTCAAGTATACGTATACAAACAGTATTTCGTAACAAAAACTTGTGTCTAGAGTGAAAAATAATTTGGTAGATAGAAAGGTTTTGCTTATTACATTTACTTTTGATTACTGCGAATTTAAGAGATTATCACAATACGTGTCGGAAGAAGATTAAAAAACAACAGAAGAGCTTTTAACTGTCCATTTTATGAATATGGATCGATATGAAACAATTTTGGCGACTTGAAAATCGTTTATTTCGTAAATGAAAAAAAACTAAGTGATGCAGTTATGCGAGTATATCTAAGTCAGCTCTCCCTCTCGAAATGCTCTCACATGGCCACGCGTATACAGCTACTGTCAGGGTGGACCTACTCACTGCCTTCTCGTGGAAGGGGTGTTGCTTACGAAATTGAGAGGACGGAAGGTGAATATCCGGCGTTTTAACCAGGTCGGTGGATATGGAAGATTCACCTAGGGGAGTTGGAAAACTTTTTTTCCAAATCAATGGTACATATGGGCTTCAGGATTCTGAGGGAACAAATGTCGTATGAGCTTATTGTTGATCATCGGCTGCCATGGGACGTGCATCTCTTGACTTTACTCCACTGACTTGTGGATCAAACTTTTAGGTCAAAGGCTCCGGATGTGGCCCCCTAAGAAAACCACTCGGGCAGTATCCCAGCCCTCACACAAATCGAATGATTTATGTGGCGTATATCTATTTGGTGCCTCCTTGTACCGATGTTTACGTGTTTAAATAAAATAAAACTATAATATATTGTTTAACTTGAATTTAGACAGTTGATGTGTTTGATACAGAACAACGATTATGTCTCTATATCATGATTGTGTACTAAGTACTTTCTGACAGAAACATGAGAAAGGATAGAGGTATCGAGAAGTTTCCACTACCTAAAAATATACTAGAAGGGCGGCCTGCTTGAGCATCTAGGCTACCTGTTCCTGCCATCTGGATATTTTAGCAAGTTATCTATTTTTGTTTGTTTTATTATATCATTATGTTTATTAATCACATAACCTATTCTGCTGTGTTTCTGAAAAGTGTACAACCTTTCGTTGTCAAAGTTACAAAAAACTCAATAAGAGACAATGTGGTTGCTGGCAATATACAACGAAAAGAATACACATTATTCAGATGTTCATTTACTGAAGTGCTAACATCTAACTGGCGATCACTCAATATTTATCTCCAGGACCGACCAACAGGAAAGAAACGGCAACTTGTTGAAATACTTTGCGCTGAGAATTCTATATTGTACCAAAAATATAATATTGAATAAAGCTGATGATAATAATAATAATAATAGAAGTATAGGTAAATGATGGTCCAATCTTATGAGCAATTATTATTAAGGTACAATATATCATTTCAAAATACCAAACTATTATGAGTTTTTGATTGAGATCTTGAACCAATTGATGTTAGATCATCACAATTGAAAACCTGGAAGCACTGGACGGCCGTTTCGTCCTATTGTGGGACTCCTCAGCAGTGCGCATCCACGATCCCGCGAGCGGGATTCGAACCCAGGGCCTTCGGTCTCGCGCGCGAACGCTAATCCTTGTCGGGTAGAGACAGTTATCTACCTCAGTACAATGGAAGTTGGTCGCGCAATTTCGTGGATTGGTTGATGTTAGAAACTATCACCGTTAGATGCCGGCTCAGTGGTCCAGTTGGTTAAGCGTTCGCGCGCGAGACCGAAGGCCCTGGGTTCGAATCCCGCTCGCGGGATCGTGGATGCGCACTGCTGAGGAGTCCCGCAATAGGACGAAACGGCCGTCCAGTGCTTCCAGGTTTTCAATTGTGATGATCTAACATCAATTGGTTCAAGGTCTCAATCAAAAACTTAATAATCTCCACAACTCCTATACTATTATGAGTTTATCCAGAATTTTAGCAACCAAGTGATATTTGTAACAATTTAAACTACTACCAAAAGCTCAAGAATTTACTAGCTTATATAGTAAAAATTATTAATTAAAATACTTGAAGTAAAAGCATCTTTGGAGCAATATTTTATTTTAAACACACAAATAAGCTGTAAGCGATCAACATTAGGATCCCATTGTAAGGTGTCGGACAAATATAATACTACGATAAAATAATGATAAATCCCATAAACACAGTGATGTATGATTGGAATCCTTGTAATTATAAAGTGTGAACTCTAATTGTTGAAGGAATTTCAAAGCACATAACAGCAAAACTCATGACGTCTTTTAGTGACAACGCATTATGTTCTGTGCTAACGGTGATGTGAAGTCATAAGCTGATGATAAGACAGGTACGAGGATTCTTTGTGAGGGATTAAATACGCAGAAAGATGGAAAAAACTGTCGTACGAATACTCATTAAGTGACACTGTAGTATATGACACAATAGCCTGTCGGAGGTAAAAATGAAAATGAAATAAATAATGTGGAAAAATAAGGTATGTGAGGTTTATGGTTTATAAAAGCACGCAGATGAAAGCGGAACAAAAAGTTAACGCTTACAAATAAACACTAGCAATTAACAAAAATTTTGGGATCGCCCTGATGAAATGGTAGCTTAAAAGTTTGTTTCAGTTGGTGTAAGAACGTTAGACGAATATTCCTAATATTTATCATGCAAACCAGGAAAATAAGTTTTATTTGATAAAGCTAAGGTATACTTTCTTCAAAATGTTGCTTAAACTAGAGTAATAAAACAATAAATTGTTATAAAATAAAACAATAATAATACAACCTAAAAGTCTCCCATGTCGGAGCTAACGATATTATTCAGTTGCTCAGGTATTAATAAGCAAGGCGAGGTTCAAACATGAGCTTGACCTCTTGAGATTTGAGAGTTTAAACTATGGAGATACAACTTTAGTAGAATGATAGGACCACTAAGTGTTTAAAATTCCCTACATGTGCGTCAGTACCACCGATTTCGAGTCATGTTATTTAACGTTGTAGACCGATGACTAAATATACCTCGCCAACCGTAACCGGATAGCCCATATTTTCGAGAACAATTCAGATTACTAGTTAGTAATTCATTCCATATCTTGGTTAGATAGCCCCGAGTCCTTTTTAACTTAGCTAAATAGCATAGCGCGCCAGGGTATGTGGAAGTCATGCATTATGTAACACATAGGCAGTTTTGGAAACTTGGAACATACATGTCTTTAACTTTCAGTGACTTTGTTTTACGACTGTAGAGTAATACAGAGTGGACTATTTCTTGACGTACTTTTTGGTAGACAAATTGACACTCAAATGTACCACGCTTGACTAAAGCTAGGAATCAAACGGGCATTTAACATCTGCGCAAAGATTCCATTAGTCACGTTCGGTGAGATTATTAAGGAGTTTCCCAACTACCATGATCTGAGGAACAAGGAGAAAGTTATGCAACTTTCTGACCACCTTAACACTTTAAGTAAGAGCTTGTATTGCAGCAGACTAAGCAAACACCAGGTGAAGGACTGGAATATCTATTATCTTCGTACATTTTACTTTCAGTAAATGGACTAAACTTCCTGAATAATGTAAGTTTAAAGTCACAATGAGAAATTACGTCATCATTATGGTTTGTTTAGTGGTTATGAAGAGCCTCAGTATATTGGAAACGTACACCGTAAATAGATTATACAAACATTCTGGAAATACTGACCCAGAAAATAGTTATGGTAATGATCAAATTATTTCATCAATATGATGCGTTTAGACTTTCATCATGAGTCCAAACACATGTGATGAATAAGTAAATCATGTGATAATTCGAACTGTATTAAAAGACGGACTGAACATTTTCAGTTGAAACACGTACTACGTTTTAATCAATGTAGTTAGAGACGTTTAAACATGGAAACTAGTACTCAGTAGCGTACTACAATGTTTTGTTCTAGACCATTTACATTTCGTATTATACGTAAATGAACTCCTGTGCACTGCTAAACCCCCAATCCTATTTTATACTGATAACGCCAACAGTAACGGGAGGCGAAGATGCACGTACACTCCTGGCCAACCTTGATGTTTTGCTTAAGTGATCTAAAATCAATCCCTCTAAGTGGATCTGCATGAACATTGGAGATGCAAAAGTAAATAATTACAGTACTGAGGAAGGGTCGGTGCCTTTTTGTCCTATCTCACAATGTCCTAGTGGTAGCGGTGAATCACAACTTTGAGATCACGGCCCGTTGCCGTGCGGTTGAAGCTGAAGGGTTCAGAACCATATGGACTTTAGGATGAACATTTACCAGGTTGGATATAAGTATGTCCACCACAGTATACACAACCTTGGTGGGATTCAAAGTTGAAGACTGCGTCTAGACTGCAGACCACCATTCGAAATGTGGATCTTGGATCATGAAAAACAGTAAAAAGAATAGCTACCTGTAGGATTCCAGAATTCACACATACAATGGCTTGAGAAGTTTTACTTCTTTACTTTGCCTTGCTGCAGATACAGAGGTAATCTGATTATGATGTATAGAATAGTTAAAAATGGTTTTGGACCTGAAGGTATTATATCTTTTCCTTCACAACAGATCAGAACAACTCAGAGTACATAACAGGCGAGTTCAAAGGCCAAAAACGAACAAAATAACTATACTAACAGGTTTTCACATCGAGTCATCAACTCTTGGAGTTTGATCTACCCGAAGTGGTTGGTGAGATAACTTTAACTTAACTAAAACATTACCAAAATAAAGATTACGTTTTCGTCCGTTCGTCTTCACTGATATAAGAAATGTAATTACTTTACCAACTTCAGGTTTATGAGCTCGACTCTGAGACAGAATTCATAACATTCACTAATATATGACTACGTGTAATAGGTGGTGTTTAAAGAAACTATTCATAACACACTGTTAAGTTTATTTCTATGAACATATATAAATCTTGGTTGAAAGATGGTCATTTGATAAATGACTTCATATTTTATCTACCAGAAGCTCATAGATGAAAATTATATCTTTTGGTTGTAACGTTAGCTGTGTATAGACACAGTAATGCAACAGATGATATACATGAACTGGAGTAAAATGAATTTTTGAAGATTCACGAAGAAACGTTATCCGATTTCGAGCAGTTTTATATGAATTAAACCGACTTAAACAACACTATACTATTTAACAGGATGTTTGGTGCTGTCTATCACCAACGACTTACCCCAAGTTTGTCAAATCCAGTAGGATTTTTTTGATACCAAAGATTTAAGATTGTTCTTCAACGTTGAGGTTCAAGCGCAAATTAATCATACTGATTGATTCCGGCTTATCATAAACACATTAGGCATGATGAGAACTGATACCCGACAGTACTGTCTGAAAGTTCTTATAAGTTCATTCTTGATTATCTCTAGGTTTGACAAGACAAAATCAAATATTCATCACTATTGCTTTTGGGAGATTACTGAATTCCCAAAACTTGTGATAGATACTAAGACCACTTTAATACATGTAGTAAACTAAACAGTTGTTTAGAGATATTTATGCGAAAGAGTAATATACGGAAATGACACATTTGTTTTAATTGATCTTTATCAAAGATATTGGACAGTCCTGTTACCCACATAGATACTATAAATATGTTCAGAAACGTCTACATCAATAATCAGATAGGAAGAAGCCTCTAGTATACAGCATTCTAGATGTGGTATTATCCAGACGGGAAATAATTCAGTCCATAATGTTTAAAATATGAAAACACTGATTTTTATACACTCATGAAATAAGGAAAAATCAAGTTTCCTAGTGAAGCATATTTAAACCAGTGTTATAAAAACATGTATTAACGCTTGAAACGTTTTTTTTTCGAGTAAGGAAAGTAATTATGATATAGGGTTCGTTATTGTAACCGCAGTTTTCGCTGTTTTTTAACATGTGTGCCACAAAAAACTTGCTTCTGGAAATTCTGAGGGAGATTTTAAATAAAGTTTGGTTAGTGGGATAAACATAGACACCCTATAAAGTCTAACTTCAGATGGATAGGACCTACGTGGAAGAGCGAGTACCAGTGTCACACAGGATTGATTCACAACTTAACGACATACAGATATATGTTAATAAACTAGTACAATGACTAAAATCACAGAAATATAAACAACATAACAGAATTAAGCAGAACAATCTCTACCTGGTATAAACCGATATGTTGAGCAATAAAATAAATTCAGCTCTTCAAGTTCTGTACATCAAAGAATGTGGTATTTCAAACCTTCACTAAAATTTTTAAAAAGTATTATAATGATATTTTAGAATGAACAAGTAACGAATGAATTATTACATATTTCTTTGTTTTAACTGTTGTCATGACAACATTTAAGCTCTCACCTTAAATGTATGTGAATGTAAGAGGAAGGGCCGTTAATTGAATTATATCTCCGAATAAACTGTTGCATTGCAGTCGGAGTAATATATTACTTTTTAGCACAACATGAACGATATCTTAAACGTGTTATTATGCGTTGATGACATGTCACCCTGTTTCACCATATATTTCCAAATCACCCTTCATGTATTCAAGGGTTTTTAGTTCTTTTTACACCTCGCGTCGTCACATATTCGTCGACGGCTTCTAAGTTTCTTGGCCATATGAGTTCATCATGGTTACCAGGCAGTATTAGTATATTTGCATTATTTCTGGAAACACATAAAATAAGCAATATATAGCTAAATCTTTGTCGATGTTTTAAACCCGTGTATGATTATGGTTCACGGTTGGTGGTTAGGTTTAGGAACCAGATTTATGGTTTTCATCACTAACTGTCATCATGTAAAATGCCAAGGCGCTATTTAGCCAAATGGATGAATGAATTTCGCGCCAAAACCTGTTATCCTATATCTGACTGATTCGTCCAAAAATTGTGATTTCATTTGTTTATTAATTGCGTATGCTGGAATATATCTATGTCTCACTATAGTCAGATCTCTTTCAATGAAGAATTCGGTCAAACATGATGAGTGAGATGCTCTGAAACCACTTTTTATCTCTGATAAAAGATTACTTCCTCCAACGTGACGTTAAATAACGGCTCGAATAATCTCCATTAATTTGATAATGATGCTAGTTGGACAAACCTTTCAATTTTTGACTGGATGTTTACAAGGCTATGGCATCCTTGGAGTATATTTGTACTTTTAGCTGCTCAATGGCTAAGCATCATATCCTCCAGGACTTCCATGATTCAAAGACGAGTATTGTCAGGACCACTAGGCTTATCTAGTCTGACATGTCAGAGTATTTGTTGAACAAATTCCTCCTCAGTAAATACATGATCCGTCGAAAATTGTTAGAACTAATGTCCGCGCTCTCAACATCACATTTTGAAAAGTCACCGAACTACTTAAACGAGGCTTTATTGACATCACTAATTGACAATCTCAGTGAATTTCCTTGCAGCGGTATTTCACCACTTTTTCGAGTTCACCTCACTATATACAACAGCAACCATTTATGACTGCTCTGAGGATCTAAGACCAGAAGTTTCTCATAAACTAATTAAGCTCTACTCATAAACATTTCAGAGGCGTTTCTAGTTTTACAGCAAATGGATTTGAATTGTTCTGAGTTTAAAGAGGTGAACAGGTTCCTATGTATCTTTCTATATCTAAGATACTTTTTGACCCATTGTGTTATCTGTGACAGATACTTGTTAGATCTATGTGATTTTAAGCGTTACATAAATAGGAACGTAACTGAGTTAAAAGTAACCTTGGAAATAAGCGATATCTTATCAGTTGTTGAGTTATTGTTAAATAACTCATCCATCACTCAAGCACATTCGCTAAACGCCGGAATGCTTACTCGCCACACATTTAGGCGAGTTTAAGTATGATTACTGGTTATGTCACAGATCCGGACCGTTGCTGCTACCTTGACGTGGTGGTCGGTCTTGTCTATCGTGATGAGCCAATCAAGCTATATTGGCTGGAACATAAACATTTACCAAATATTTCTTTCAGACTGTATAAGTAACTACAATCCAGTAAATATCTCCTGATCAAATTGCAAATGCAAGTTCGAACAGTAAAATAGTTTAATCAGGGCCAATTCCTTTTCGATTTGTTTTTTAACAATGCCACAATTGGTTTGATAAGTACACGAGTGATTCTTATGATATGCAACTCCGCACTTTCAGAATTTACGGAAGCAGGAAGCGAAGTAAACTAATCAAGAGAATATGACAAAGATTCCTTTGAATGACACAGAATTCGAATATCTAAGAACTACACTTATATCAGAATCAACAAGTATTTCAGATAAATTTGATAAGCTGTATTATTCTAAAGGATACCTTACAGGAAGGCAGGTAGGTAGACAATAAAAGGATTTTGAAGATTGAAAAAATTAAATTTCTTCTTTGCAACATCGTTTCAGTATACCTCATATTTATACTAGTTCCAATTGTCGTTTGAAACATTAATAAGTCACGAAGATATAATGAAATCTGTCTGTTTGAAGTTCTTATTTTTTGAAACTCATCCTGAAATGCATGACAAACGTTTTTAAATTCACTCATTCAATGAACACGAGCAGCTGTCAAACTGCCCCTATATTTGTTTGTTCTCTGATTGATCGTCAAATTTTGGTATTTTAGGTAGTGAAGATTATTAAATTCCGTGGTTTTACACTATGGACTAACTTGAGATAGACAACTTTTAAGAACCAGCAAGTGCTGCTCAGCTGTTTCATTCTATAACGAAACTTTATGAGTATGGCTACACAACTCCACTAAGGCTCGAATCCTGAACCTTCAGGCCTTGCAGAAAGTATTTGATTCTCGGACCACTGAGTTATCATCCAGTAGTTTCCATTTATAACTTCAACCGATTTGCGATATCATGATTTAGGTGCGAATCATTCAGATTGACAGTATTTTAGTGAAAGTTTTAGTCTGTAATGTATTTGGGACACCCAAGTGATTAGTGCTGAGGTTAAGGTCATAACGTTTGTGGAGATGTAAAATTCACCGACTATTATGTAAAATTTCATCTGCCGACATGATTGGGAAATACGTTGCGGATGTCCACCCACTGTGTAACATGACTATTGATGGTACTTGACGTGGAATTAGGTTGAAAGAGAGCTATAGGAGGTAAAGGTAAAAGATAACATCAGTTCAGGTAGTCGTATAATGATAGTCAGGGCAGTCTGAATGGGTTTAAACCGCTTAGTTGAAATCCCCATGTTAATTGTGATCACGAATTGTAAGCTTAAGGTAACGTGACTCAAGATAGATCACAGTAGGGCGAATTGATTTATTGTCTTTCTTCTTATTCTTAAATTTTGTTAGTATTATATAACAGTTTTTACTTCTATATTTTAACCCTTCGTCTCATATTCCATTCTCTATTCTTGATAATTTTCATCACTTTGCGTACTATTTCTTTGCATAGTGTATTATTCATTTATTCTCACCGTGCGTATATTAGGTATGAAAACTTAAAACTGTGTTTAGTTGTGCATGTCACTGAGTTTTTTTATAATTTACTGACAAACGTATTTGGCGCAGTACAGTAAGACAGTTTTCTTAAAAATATAATTATTATACAGAGATGTTTTTTCTCTAAGGTTCTCCCTGTAAAATAAGTGAATAACAAATAGAATGGTTCGAATCCTGATACTAGGTGATCAATCAGGTGGTGTATTTGAACAAATACCAAACTATGTACTAATAGTCTGGATTATTTGTGAAGGTTTAACGCGGTTATTCTAACCTTCGTGTCATGGAGAATTTCCATGTCGAATCGTTGACAAATTTGGGAAGTGCAGTAGTTTTTATACATGTGATGAAATATTAAAAAATCAAATAGTGAATTAATTTGAACTTTGCCGGTGTTTTAAAATATCAGAACGAATGATATACACAAAGGGATTAGTCTCACAATGATAAAATTTTAAATATCAAGATTGAAATCATGACCGATATACATGCATAAAACTACAAATAACTAACTATATCAACTAACGTCAACCTACTACGTAATGTGAAGGAAATGTAACTCATGACATTATCGGTCCCACCATTAGGCAAAAATTTCCATCCTTTGTACAGAAATTTTATTCCACTAAAACAGGAAATTTTAACATGTGTTGAAAATTACTAACTACTAGCAAGCTCAAAAATCGGTCTCATGCAGTACAAATTTCTTTATTTATTTTATACCTTCGAGTTCTCACGTTCATTCTTTCTTTTTCAAAGAGTGCTTCTAACATTTGATTGCCCACTTTACTTTGTAAAGTCTTTTATTTGTGAGAATGTTAACTATTGTAACTTCGACTGATGGACTTTGTGTGTGGTTTTCAATGACTATGTATGACTAATTGCATAAAAAAGCAGCTCCAAATATATCGACAATGTTATCTGATGAATAAACGTCATACGTAGATGAATGAAACCATCATATATACATTTCATGTTTTAAAAATCTTAGTTGGAAGTTTGTTAATTTATCAATTACTAATCAAATATCAACAGAGTGATTGCTTTTCACTCGACCCATACATACACCATGAAAGTATAATTTGCGGCTCCTAATTTATCTGATTGCATAGGATAAATTATGTCGGTTGCAGTCGTCATCATATTTCAATATCTGATACCATAAAAATATCTGAGAATCATTGAAATATTTTGTCTATCATGAAAACAACTTCATAGTATTTTTATTATTAATTAACTAGGCTACTGATCATTAATATCCCTTTCGTTGTCACTCATATTTTTAGGCTGCTGCCATTTTAGCTTGTTATAAAACAGCTCCAGAAAGAGTCCGGGTGATAAAAGCTTTACAAAAAGTACGTTTACATCCTTTTATTAATATATGTATCATTACCAACGTTTGATTTGATAATTTCGAATAAATTGAGCATTGGGTGGACTGTTATAGATAAATAATGTAGTCTGATATTAAATATTAGTCATGACTACAAACTCTACCCGTTGTTTCACTTCAATTCTCTCGTTTATTTTTCCTTGTAGAGATTATGCCGTATGACATGTGCTGAAGCAATCGAAATATTAAATGTTTTACAATCAACCAATTATGATCGATTATTTGCATTAGACTGCATTAAACAGTAAATTATTTGTTACTCGATTAATTGTTTCAAATAATTAACTAATTTTTGTGCTTAGTTTACGTAAGTTTTAGAAAATAAATTATTTAATTGCAGAGAGGTTTCAAACGATGGAGGGACAGATGTTTTTTGTTAGAGATGTTTAGCTTATAAATAAGATCTCAATAGTTACACCCTTTCTAAACTAGATATTTCACTTATAAAGCCTTTGATTGTCTTCACTGGCGACTTTTAAAAGAAGTGAGCTATTGCAATTTCGCTACAAGTGATGAGCAGTTTGTTCTTATGATATGGATGGATTTAATTAGTTGTTAATGTCAGCTATCCTTTCATAAAGCCTGTATATAGTTCGGTAGTTATTTTCTCTTCTACTCTTTTTTCATTGTAGCTTGTCAACATCTTTTTCGATTTAACTAATTATAAAATACTGACCGCTTGATTAATAACTTGAATGCTATGGCTTTAAGGATTGTTTGACATTTTTTGTGTTGTATTTGCACAGGGTTTCAATATTTTCTCAGTTTAATTCATGTTCACACATATGACACGCATGAATATGGGTTATAACGTTAAGATTACCAATTTGTTTTTACGTATATCAGGTTGAAAAGGGTCGTCACTTTGATCTCATCTTCCTCAAGGTTTCGACAATTCATTTTGCAAATGTTTCCTGACTCACCCACTTTTGTCTTTATGTTTATCAGGTCCAGTTATGTTGATTAAAGGGATTATGTTGATTTGTAGGTTACAGTTAGGCCTAAAAGTTCTTAATAGTCTGACATATTCATCATGTATGTTATGAACGTCCACGGTAAATTTTCTACCTGATCGTGATTTAGTCACAAACTTCCGAAATTACCATTGAACGGATGGATTTTTAGTCATCTTAACAACAGAATCAATTGCTTTGTTTCGGTTTGATTATCACCATTAGTTGACCAGTTTTATAGCAGTGATATCGGTTAAGGAACTATTGTAAAAGTTTGAGAAGACTTACAGTCTTAGTTAGAAATTCTATAATTGTGTATACTTACAACTCCAAGCCAGATCTAACAACTGACATACTGGTCTTATAACTAGAATCACTTATTACGACCTTAATGGTCCACATTTTTAATTTCAGTCAAACATTTATATACCGTGATTGGTATTGTTAATGGGTTATTATTTCTCTTTTGGTTTGACTGACTTCATAGGCCATTAATTTACGCATGAATTGTACAAAGTCTTCATAACATAATTTAACCAGGATACTTTTGTTGATATGTATATTAATGTTCCTAATTCTTTTTCCTCTTTAACTCATATACTTTTACCCAAAAATATGTCGGTTCTCACCTTCTCATTTTTTTGTTTTTTGTTTTTCAGTACACTAGTTGATCATGAAACAACTGACGGCATTGAATATATCTTGAAAGCTTTTGTTTATGAAATTGACAAATTGAAAGCCTTACAAATATTGTCAACTGTAATGTTTTAGATTATTTTGTTTTACAAATGATATAATTACTTTTTATTTATTTATATCTACATACATATAGGTTAGTATGTATGTTAGAAAAGAGTTAGCCAGTGGTGGACATCAAGTTTATGCACCATTTGGTGGTCTTTATACCCAAAGCTTTCCAGGTTGTGAGGCCCTCTATGGACCAATTAGTGAACAAATGGCTCTCAAAGATGTAAGAAGTTTTCTTTTTTATTATAAATAAATCTATTACCTTTTGATTAAGTAAAGTCACTTGCAGTAAGCAATCCACTTTTACGTTTGTTTTCGCTATATAATAATATTAACTGGAGAATCGTTGAATACCGTAAATTATCGAAAAGTTTACTACACCATGGGGTTGTGTACCTGTGACCACATACCAGATTAAACACAAGACCTTCTGGTCTTGTAAGGATTGTAGACAGAGTTTTCATCTTGAACACTAGTCATTGTGAGATTACTGAGTGATAGAGGCAATAACTGTCTAACGTACGCGATAGTTTAGTCCTACCAATCACGATTTCGCACTAGAAGTTTGAGAATTCATTTTAAAGGGAATCATTAGTTAACAATTTTTTGTTCAGTTGGGTGGTTTGAGGATATCAGTTCAGTTGTAGAATGAATCTTACCGAGCACTGATATCAACTGTAGAACTACTAAAAACCATGGAGCATTGTTTACTTTTACTGTTACTTTCATTTTGATAAACTAAGTGAATTGTATCAACTTCAAGCAATATATTGTTTGATGAGGCACAACAATGTTTGATATTGCAACATTATGTTACTTGAGGTAAGCGAACTCATTCTAAAGTTCCTAAGGAGATTGAGTCTTGTACTTTTCTGTTTTAGTCATGCACCGAGGTTGATTTTCTTTTTATTTTATACTCAGATTTGTAACAATTATTAATATTATTTAAAACTCATTATTTTTATTTAAATGTAGTTTGCTAAAGTAAAGTGCAGATTTCAGTGTAAATTGATATTAACTGAAAGTTAACGAAAAACGTTAAACACTAATCAGTTGTCTTACATTAAAGCTTGTCATTCGATATATGCATGTAAACATTCAGGAAGGAAAAACGGATTTTGAATACTTCAGAATGCAAATACTTGTTCAGATTATATTGCAACATCAGATGTGCTCAAAATATGTCAATATGCTAATTTGAGCCCTCATAAACATATTGCAACTGAAAGTCTATTGTATAAATGTGTAGTTGGTAAATTAATTACAAGTTGTTAGATTTCTCAAACAATATTAAGGGATCTGTTTGTTTTCACTGACATACAGTGACTGGTCAGATCATGTCAGTTTCTGTCGAATAGATTTACTTTTAAAATAAAGTCAGTTTAAAGTTTTTCAGGGCCATTAATTCCCTTGGAGTCTACATTTTCCTAACTTTCAGGAGATATACAAACACTTACTTTTTGTCTTATTCTAGTATTTTACCTTAATTAACATCCGTAAAGTTCGTTAGAATACTGTTTTACATTTGATGCCACAACTATAAACGCCTAACATTTTTGACACTACGTCTTAATGATCGACCTGTCAATTAAATGAAATATGTCAGAATTTTTATGTGTGCACATAAACATAACGAAAAGAAAATTATAAATTGATAGTCTTAAGAAAAGTAATCTTGAAATAAACACGGACTAATGATATTGGAGGTTTAGTTTCGAAATGTTTATATCGATTTATAATTTCATAAATTACTGTTGAATTGCATTATCGTAACGAATGGTAAGATTTAATCATGAAATTTTCACTTGTTCTTTGAATAACAATAAAAATTGCTTCATGAAGCCTTATTATTAAGCTCTTTAGCTAGGGGCTAGGAACACTTGAAGAAAGTTAAAGGCAAGTCATGTAAAACCCTGAACCTAGGCTTCATAATAGTTTTCACATATTGTCAGTCTTAGGTTTGAAACCATCGTCGCTAGGAATCATAATCTGATACTTCGTGGATATCGATAGCTGACTAGTAACAAGGATTTTTTGGATCTCTACAAAACCAACTAACATCGTACACTGTCTCGTCATTTAGACTAACGGGCACATTCCAAATCAATTGGTGAAATTCAATTATCACTGAAGACTACATTAGACTGACGATGGTCAATGCTCGGTGGTTAATAAATGGAGAATGCAACATTGTCTAATATATGTGCATCAAAATGTTAGTTATCAAATACATCTGCCAGCGATTTCTCTCAACAACCCATCACTTCTGAGGTTATAAATGACATCAGAGTAATAAGGTCAAAAGAAAAAAATCACGGGGATAATTTGATTTAGAGGATTTTGGTATCTTGGTAAATAACTGATAATAACAAGACCGATTTATATTCTAATGCTCTGCTTCACAACTTCTATGGAAAACACGAGAAAAATGTATTTTTTACTTTGTTAGTTACTTATAAGTAGTAAGATGTTTTTTGAAATCCTTTTTGAGAAAAAGAAGTCGATTCGTTGAAGAACTTATGGGAAAAGTGATAGAAATAAATTCTAATTTATTTTTCTCAAGTGACCAGTCTTCTGATACATATTTTAGTAGTTGAATTCAGTAAGAATTTCATTGTGTCATGGTATTCTTACTTCAGTTATCATGTTGTAAATTGAGTAAATTCAATTTCATATGGTACACATTCGTTTCTGCGTGATTCTATAACAAGGAGCATAATTTATGCATTTATTCGTTGTGTATATAATCGTGGTAACTCCGTTTTGAATTGTTGTCGAACAACGAAGTAAATAATCGTGAGACTATTTAGATAAAAATTAGTAAAGTTAAGCAAGTTTTACAGGCATATGAGTAGATTTTATTTAACATTTATACCAAATGGTTAAGTTGATTAATTAATTTCTTTTAGTTAGCTTAAAAATTAGTATATTTCATTTGATGAAAGCTTTTTGACAGGACAAGTAATATATGCATATGGTATTAAGAATATACTTATTTTCATTACCCTTCGTGTAAATGGACTGAACTCAAGAATGCATAAAATTCAGGATAATATTGATATAATTTTACCGTCTTTCTAAATACACTATCTATTCAAAAAATGTAAGGAAGAAATATGTAAACAGTAGTTTTCTCCTTTCCTTACTGTCTCGGTTTTCCTCATTCTCCTATGCATTCAATATTTCATGTTGTTTTCAATTAATCGGAAAAAAACCAAACATGAGAAAAATCAAGTCATAGGAGTGTGTGCACTTTATCCCTGCTAATCACTTTTTAATATATGCCTATTTGTATAACCTCTGGGATTATTAGTAAAAACGAATGAAATATAACGATTATGCGAGTTATTCATTTTCATTTATTACTTTCAAAAAATATATCTGTATTATACACTGTCTCTGTTTATGTCAAAACATAAATATAGGAATAAAGAATTAGGCTAAATTAATAATAATTATGCCGATTTCTAGTGTATCCATTTATTATTTCCATTGTGATTATGCAAGTTTTGAAAACGTCTATCATTACTGTTAGTTACTAATCCATAGTTTAGATTAGCAGTTGTTTCTGTGATTTTTTTTTCAATATCTGAATAACGGCTTTTCTGTTTTGATCAGTTGATTTGAACTGATAGTTGTAAGACATTATGGTTTGTTCATTCATCCTAATGTTTTAATACACAGTCTGATGATAAAAGTATGAAATAGAGATGGTGGTAGAGTCCTGGATACACGTTCGGTCCTATTTGTGATTCGTCAACTAGATGTGCCTACATTTCATAGTTGATATTCACTCCAAGACTCAAACTCATTGCCGTTCGCTTCAAACGACATCCCTTTTTTCTCCATTTAGTTAATGAGTTCAAACAGCCACTGGCTTGCCTAATTCAGTGAAGTTTAATTAATTTTTGTATTGGTCGTTTGGATCTTACCATCGACGTCAGAAACTATAATTGATCAGTCTCTTATTGGAATATATGCATACTTTGCGGACTGCCTCGATATTGCCTTCAGTCACAACCATTATATGCAGAGATAGATGGTGGCTAGTTCTAAAAATCATTGAGAGGAATCAAACAATCAATACAACAATCAATTAAAAATATAAATTATTCATAGAAATCATTTTTGTTTTCACCATATTCGGATGAATAATGATCAGTGATTAGAATATTTACAGTTGGAATGACGCTTCAGAACGAATTTAAGGAATTGTCCCTCCATGTTCAGTTAGGTCTCCTTTTGAGAATGATTTTATTAGGGCACAATGTTGACAAAAATTAATTATCAAAATTCACCTGAATACAATAACGAGGGAAGATAATTTAGTGATAAAAACAGAGTTATACTCTGGACATTTATCAGTTGTAACAAGAAACTTTTAGGTTATGAGTAATTTTCTTTATCGAGCAACCAATGAGACTTTATTTCAATCATTTTTGACCTCATATTGGAATTGTTTTGTTCTACTGATTTATTAAAGTGATACATAAGTATCTTTTAAAACTTTCTTACATGATTTATTTCATGCGAATTGGTTAAAATTATACAGTAGATGACATTTTTGGTGATGATGGTGTCAACTAATCCATAGATAAAACAACATTTCATGAGTGGCATTGAGAAGTGATTGCACCTTATCGTGGATTGACGAAACTTGAAGATGATAATCCTTGGAAACTGAGTGGAATGTCTAAAACAATAATATTCCCCACGATACCTGAGAATCCTGGGTTTTACCTTATGTGAAATCGTAGGTGTTTACCTTTAAGTAACTTTGATAATTAGAAAAAACCAAACATCTAATGCTTCATTGTTTCTGTAGTTAACCAGTTGATGATCAGGTCATCGTGAAAAGTAATTTTTAGTTATATTTGAACTTCTCAATAGTGTTTTAATAAATACTAGCTAGGTAATTTAAGAACAATGTAGTTATCGGAGAGACTTCAGATATGCAACAGTCCTAACGAATAATAGAAATATAATCTGGATATTTTTATTGAACACTTAGGCACGTTTATGTTTTTAAAGAACATTAAGCTTCTAATTATAGTTCATCGTATAGTAAATTTAAATGTGACAACAATACTGAATTAGTCTATAAATTTTCACCGAAATACATCAGTAAACATACAATTGCTGAAAATATGATAATGTTTTGTTCTTATTGCGAAATTAATTATTACGTGTGTTTTCTAGGGGACATTTTTGTTACAAAAACACAGTCATTTCATGTAAAACCGTGTATGATTCTTTTTAAACAACTGCAATCGTGGTAGTAGAATAAAAAACAAGCTTGTTTACATAAATGTAACTCTCAGATAAATTCACTGATATTCTCGGTGAAACTAAAACGCCACCTACTGAAAAATGACATGGACATGATATACAATGATGTATTATCTGTAAGCGCAGCATAAAAATATCATTGATGATTAACAACAGAGAACAGATCATTAAATGCTGGATACTGACACCTCAGCATTACGTTCATCAAATCTTGATGGAGTAATGGAACACAATGATGGATTTAAGGCTTTCTATTTGGAATTGAAACAAGAAGCTTCCTTTGATGTGATATTGCTGATAACTCTAGTCTACAGAGTTTGCATATTCATAAGCTTAAAGTTCTATCAACTAGTGTCATAGCGAGATCACCTGCTTTTAACTTATGTTCACCTATTATATATATATATATATATATATATATATATATATATATATATATATATATATATATATATATATATATATATATATATTCATCCATAATTATCCTATTGTTGTTTTTTGTTTCTTCTTTCAGCATTTAGTAAAGCCTTCCCTTCCAGTAACAGTAAATATACATCCATCACTGTCAATATTTCATTCATCACCATCATATAAATATATAGGTGATTTAAACCGTTCATGGTATCCCGGTGGTGGTAGACCACCTTTACCACCAACAATGGCGGAACATGTTAAAATAGGTCCACCAAATCAAGTAGCTGAAAGTGAGCCGGGTTTTCTCGAAAAATCCCCCAACTTCCATGATAACAATGCTAATAATACTAATAACGTATGTTTAACTGCTGATTAATTTGAAAAAAGCAAATAAATCGTCATCTATTTGTAAGCAGGCAGAAACTGATTGTTGTTTTTAATATTATTTTATTACACATTGATTTTTTTATCCATTGTAAAACCAGTTAGGAGGAAATGAATTTTTCACACTTGCGATTATTAGATAAATATAAGTCGTAAGTAATTAAACATTTTTTCCATCTGAAAGAACCAGACTTCTTTGCTTAAATTAGACATAAAATATGACATTCAAAAGGATTATTGATATTTTTGCTCACAATTTTGTAAGAATATACAATTGAATGTATATGATCAATCAGTATTTTACTATTGAAGAATGTGAGATGTAGATTTTTAAACCTTTTCTTCATGGGTTAGTTAACTACTATAAGAAAAAAACAATAAATAATTACTGATAAAATCTGCTGTCAAGTTTTTGTTTCATTGCACACCAATTTATTAAATGTCACTAAGTAAATTATCCTCAAATAAAAAGTACTCTGTGGCTTATTCATTGTAGTTCAAATAAGAGCAAAGCTATTTATTCCATTAGGATTTTTCGGTAATAGACCTATTTTAGTTGCTTGTGATATGAAACAATCATCATCTGACTTCCTCGGTGAGCATCTTTTTTTCCATAAACTCCGAACTTCGTCATTTATCATGTAAGTTATCTTATATAAAATATCTTGAAGAAAGTCGCCTGATACCTTTTGGTTTGTTGTTCAATAAAGTGGTATTCATCTATAGAATGGACAAATAGTGCATTTTAGAATCTTGTACGAAACTGAACTAATTCGAATTCTCATACTTTACTGCATTACACATGTAAACTAAAAGATCTTCAATGAATAAGACAGATTGGTTTATTCGCTGGAAGCTTCATCTAACATAGCTTCAATTTAATACCATCACATTTAATGACCGAAAATTTAAAAAAAAACGATGTTCACAAAACACAGTCATAGTCTCTTCGGTTAACTATCTCTCACAACTTCACCAGCTGATTTAACTCCTCTACAATGAACCGTATTTTTAACGCCACACATAGCGTTACTTTTTGATCAAATGACACATTAGTAGTGTTTGGATAATACCTTCAAACGATTACTCGTGAATGTGTTTAAAACGATATATGTTATAAAAATATTCAGTTAAAGTGTACTATTTAAATTTACCATGTGAAATAATAATCCAATAATTACTAATGATCAACTTCGAGATAAATATCTAAGATCTGTTAAGCCAATTGATACATTTAGACTTTAAAATCTTTAGGGAACTTACCCTTAGAGTTAGAATTTATTTATTTCAATAAAGTCACAGAGCGAACATTTGAAATTCGTAATTGTTTCATATAGTGAATTGCATAAGATTCTTTTATGATTGGGTATTATGATGTACGTAGTTGTCAAGTTTTACTTGTAAGGTATGAAATAATCAATAAATATCCAGATTGAAAGGAATGTCTCTGCCGAGAAATATATAGTCTAAAATTTAAAAAAGAACAAGGTCACTGAAACACAGGTGGCTGAAATAAAATGTAGTCTAGCAATGAATTTTTTTGACATGAAATAATGTGATTTAGAAACAGTATATTCAGGTGTAGCAAGCGCGATAACATAATCTTTGCTTACAGGTTTTAGTATCCGTCAATCAGAAGTTTTTCATAGAATGAATCTACACGGTTTTAAAGCAGTTGGCTGGAGAGTAATCAAAGTGCATAAAAACTAGCTAATTCAGCAGTAGGAGAACAAATAAGGTTCACAGTCGCACCGCGCACATTCATGGTAATATATCTTTAGTCACTATCAAAACAGGGTTACTTTACTAACGTGACTACTCAAGTTACAAAAGAGAGAAAAAGTCGGTAAGATCGGTTACCAGGTTAAAGCACCGATATGCGGTCGTTTTCAAACTTCAAAGTGATTTCCAACCTATCACGGTATGGTTTTCAATTCTGTTTTCAAGGAGATTCACGTTTTGTTAAGTTTTAATTTGTAAGATGTCAGAGAAAGGTTAATATCGTTTTAAAACTGAAACTAAACAGATCGTCTTTATTTTGTGACAGTTTTCGAGATTATCTACATTGACTTTGACAGCTTGTCATGACGTAATACTGATTTCGTTCACGCTTGTGCAACCTCTAGGGAACTAATATTCCTCAATAATATGTGAAAATTTCTATTTAGTGCTATTAGCAGATAAGTTATCTCAGAGTTATTCAGTCAATAACTGGCCTTCAGTGGGTTTATACTTTTTACAATAGTCCGGCATGCTGATAAATTTCAGCGAACCAAGTTACAGTGTGCCAACTACCAAAGTAAACTATTATGTATATCTTGGGAGACTTTCGGCCAATTAGAAGACAGTGTTTAGTCATAGTAAGATTAAAATAAGAAAACTTTAACTGATATAAAATTCGAATGTGATCAATGAATTCTTCCGGGTGGTAAATTGGTTCACTGTTTGAGGGGTATAAAGACGTTCAGTAAAGAAATTCATTTGTGAGGCTTAAAATGATTCCTTTTACGATGGTAAATAGTGTTCAAAATGTCCGTGAATTGCTTCTATGGCGGTGGTGTGGGTTCGTAATGAAATTTTATCTGGCCACTCCACTATAGTGTAGTTTATACAAATCAGTATTTTGTTATATAAAATAAAACGCTTAACGATTTAAGCTCAATTTTCTGTATCAAGGAATTCTTATTCTACAGATGCCTTTGAGACACACTACGCAAATTACCAAATACCTTCAGAATCTCATAAAATATATTTACTGGGTAGTTTTCATTTCAGGTACGATCTGCATTAGACGTAGCAAGGGTTTCTCGTAAATGAGCTTACATAATATATGTAGTTGCATAGTTAGCACTTATTTATCAATTTTTAGCGAACTGAATGAGATTTTACTAAGCTCTACTTAAGGTGAAAACTATTCTTCAGTAAGTTTGAATTCATTGCAAACACAGAACTGTAGATATCTTAAATCTGATGAGTTCGGGACTATAATACACTCTAGTTCTGGCCTCTAGCCTAACTGACCTGACATTATGATGTATTCTGTTTGATGTTATGTGGTTGAAGCAACAGTGGGACGTTCTGACCCTACGTTTGTTTGCAAGTTGATACTCGCCTGTATTGCGTGTGTATAATCTCTTAACGTAATGCTAGGTGATAAAAGTTCGAATTCAACTTTTTATTTCATTATATTTTGCAAAATGTATATTGTCTTTTAAAACATTTGAATTGGTAACAAAGTAACTTTGATATTACTTGATGTGAAAGTTATTACAAAATGTCATTTTATTTACACATTATTTTATTGTTACTTCTTTGAAGAATCCACAACATATTTTTTAACAACCTTTGTGAATAATTTGATTTTAACAACACTGTGATTCAGCAAAAGTCTTCTGAGAGCTCTATATTTCCAGACTTTTCGATTATATAGTTTCATTTATATGAAAGACACTCAAGAATAACAAACTTTTTGACGGATTTTGTTTGTTTTTTCCTCCTTTTTTGTGACATAAGTGTAAATAAAAGTGGCTTAAAAGGCATGTTTGCGACTAACCGATGTTCATCCGTTAGGTTGTACATTGAACTATCTATTGGGTTGGAGCGTCTTTTCGAATGTCAATCATAAACTGACCTTTACTTCTTTTTGCTTGTTTTATTTGATGAATAAATTTGTATTTGGTGTTGATTTTTGTTGTTCTGTATTTGTGTATGTATGTGTTACGGCGTTATTTCTTATCACGCTATGTAAATAGAAGATAAAAGTTTGGTAAAGAGAACTGAGGGGAAATAAAACAGGAAAAACTGAACTTCTTCATAATCTTTGAAAGCATCTCGTGATCATATGGTAGCAAACAAAAGTGTAAATATTCTTCTCTTGTTTATTTATTCCTGATACTGGGGTTTTAGCTTAAGGTGAACTGAGTGCTTCGTGATGTTTAATTAAAGTAACTGGTAATAAATGAAGAACAATTGAGGAAATTAAAAGCGGTGAATTACTGTTTATTCATAGACTAGGAATTCTTAACAATGCCAGATGTCATCTTTAATAAGGGAACAAACCGAACGCCTTTAAGACTTGGAGTGGGGTAGTTATAATTGAATTGAATTTACCTCCTATGATTAATATCTAACTTTCGTCATTTTCATAATATATCCTAATCTTCATTGAATTTAGTTGATGCATAAATATTCCATTTCTAGCTTGGATGACTACATGTTACACTTTCATGTATATAGAGTGGGGCATGGTTTTTGGAATCTGCTACACCTATTTTTTACGTTAAATGTATTCAAATTACAGATGAATGTGTATATTTTATTACAGAATGGTTTAACAAATTTTGAGTAGTTAGGAAATAATTCTATATCCAGTTGGGAAAAACGTATAGCTTACACAAGTTATAAATATATTGAGTTTCTTTTGAAAACCCTAATTGAATAATTATGAAATTATACAAACGTTTACCAAATTAATTAATCCTGGATCGCAAGCAAATTCAAACAATCAGTGTAGTGACATATAATTCATTAATTCTCTGTATGATTAACAGTTTTTAATTAGTACCATCTTATTCAATGATCATCGCTACTCTGACACACAACGATAACACTCAGTGGTTAAATTAAAGTGAAATCCTGAAACAGTGGAGATTTGCATCTAACCAAAGTTTAAATCAGATGATAATACCATTATGTGACCTAATTGAGTAGAAGATAGACTGATGATCAAAAGGCTGCTAGTTTGAAGAAAAACGTGGTTCACGGATGTTTTTTACCTTTGATTGTTGTTTGTATTTGAGGAATTTCTTTATTCATTAATAAAATCATGAAAGTTGGTTCACAAATGTCAAACGGAGATTACGTCAATTATAATGCATTACAAGATACTTTTTAATCCAATATTTACTGAATGAACGTTTTTGATTATTACATTTTACGTTAAACTATTGCAGGATGTTTTTTGTGTAATACTAGCCTCACTGTTGTGACTGT